CTCCAGCTGGAGCTCGGCACTGATCCTGGCGCTTCTGCTGAGCCCAGAAGAAGCGCCAATCAGCTGGAATGTTGCAGCATCTCCAGGGTCTTGTGATTTACATTCAGATGCTTGGCAACTGATTCATATTTATGACGGTCACAGTGTCCCAGGGTCATGTGAAGTGACCAAAACCTGCTGCAACCACCCAGCAGACGGGGGGAATAAAAGCAAACACCCCCCCACCCCACCCCTGCTGCCAATCCTCAACAGAAATGCTTACAACAATGAAAACCTCGGACAGGAGGAAGAGTGCCTCGGGTGGGCAGGCAGGTGTCTTGCTCGGCTGTGCCTTGGGGGGCACTTTTTTCAGTGCCATTGTAACTTCGAACAGTCACTAAGCGAACTGTTGTAAGTCGAGGACTACCTGTACTTCAGCACTTTTTTCCTTTTTTGGGGGGGGTCATCAAGTTTTTGACACCTTGCTAGGCGACTGGTGGTACTCGGATGTTGCAATATCCTAAAAGTGGTACAATGGGTGAAAAGGTTGAAAAGCCCTGCACTACAGGCACAATGAAGAAAGGGAAATAAGGAGGTCCAGGGACATTTCAGGCTGACAAGAGAGAGGATTTATTTTAGGTCATTGGGTCTTCTTCCCATGAAAGCAGCTATGTGCGCAAACCCATGGAAGCAGTCGGAACACGTCTCAAAGCACCTGCGCATGCCTTGCAAAAGATGCTTTAAGAAATCTGAGAGGTGGGTCTACTTGTACAGCTGCGCACTGCGAGGCACTCATCCAATCCTGATGCAAGCTCTACTGTCCAAGCCATTAGCAGCCAGGTTACTACCATACCTGCAAACTCATTGAAGTGGTTCCCAATATCATAAGCGAGGTAATTATATCCAGAGTACTCGTAGTCAATGAACTGAACGTCACCTACACGAGACACAAAAATAGAATTTTTTAAGAGTAAGAGCAGAGCGCTGTGAATCTGCACTGTGCCACTTAATACCTGCCAGTGTGTTCCACTCTGCTGTGCTCTGTAGCATGCATTTTAAGAAATACCAAGATTGCATTTTTGTTTTGTTTGTTTGTTTTAACAAACATAATAAACTTCTTTACCAAAGATACCTGTTCTTAATTACTTAGGGATAGAACCTCTGCTTTTGTCCCACAGGGGGGCATCAGTTATCTTAAATTCCATTAGTTAGAGGGACTTGGTCTCTGAATATAACATTCAAATCATTCTTAAGCTATTCCTCATCCAAAGTTAGCAGGGCTGAATACAAAAGAAGTTAGTACCGTTACAGACAACGGGTTCTTTAAAAGAACGCTTATCGTTTTGCAAAAGGGGGTATCCGTGCTGTTATTTTGCTTCCTTTACACAAAACTCATTCGTTTTGCTTACATTACAGCACATCTTCCCCAAGTGTTTACCTGCTATCAGAACATCTGCATGAAACCATACAAGTTGTAATCAAATATGAATTCATATTGTCCTTAAGTCTATCCTGACATATCTCTCAGATTAAAATGTGCAAAAAGGAAGCAGCACTATATGTTTCCAAGCAATAGAGAACGGAGTTTGAGCCCCTGAACAATTAAACTGCTTTTCTTTACCTTAAGTAAAGAAGATATGTGGCGATACAATCATAATAAACATTATGTGGCGATACAATCATAAAGAGTAGTTTATATTATGCAGTGCAAGAAGAGGCATTAAATGTTCTCACTGCTAGAATATATTGCCAGCAATCCTCATCAGTCATTCCAAAGAAGCTCTGGGAAATATAGTTCCATAAGGCGGCTGAGGATATGTCTGTCTATATTCCAAATAGCCTACCTACAATTACATATTTCAGGATTCTTCGTGAAATGCAATTATAGTTCATTGAGAAAAATTCACGTCAGATACATAATAAATTTGTATCTTTAAGATGCCACAAGATATTTTGGGGGGTGTGGGTCTTGGTGGAACAAACTAATATAGTTAAAACATATACAGAGGCTTCTCATAATAGTATCTTACAAGCCAGGGAATAAATTTATACCATACAGGCAGTGGTGGGATTCAGCCGGTTCACACCAGTTCGGCAGAACCAGCAGCTAATTTTTTGTTGCCCAGGCCCAGAATGGACTACCGCAAGCGGCATCCACACCGAGAACCGGTTGTTCACATATTTGAATCCCACCACTGCATACAGGCAATTCAGAAAAATATTTTAAGTGGCCTCTAAACAGATCCTGTTTCCCAAGTCGCTCATCTTATAAAGATGATTCAGTAAAAACAAATGCACGCTCAGTTTAACTCTTCTTTTGCCATCCAAATACAGCTAACCTTTAACAGAACTATACTTTATCTGAATGTTTGCAGTTAAAAAAAAAAACAAAACCAATAAAGATAGCAGGTGAAAGACCTGCGTGCACAATACTAAGCAAATCAAACATTATTTGTATTCAAGATATACATTAATTATGTCTGCAATGCTGTTATCACCATACATTAATCCCTTTGCTAACTTCCAGTTATAATTAACAATATTACAAAAACAAAACAAAAAAAGACAGAAAGAAAGAAAATGAAGCTAAGATACAGATGAGGCTGTTACCAGGCTCCGTGCTCTCCTAGGGGGAGGTGCATGCGAACAAGTGATGCGATAATACCTCCAGTCAGTGCCTGTAAGTAGCACGGTGCACGCCGCCACTTGGCAGCAACAATGGCATACCTAATCTGTAGCAGATGAAGAAAATTTGGCAAACTCATATTTGACAAGACACAAAACTTTAAAGAGAAAAGTTCTGCATTTCACCGCTCTTTTCTTTGACAGACTGACATTACAGTGGAACTCAGCCTTAAATTTAAGTTTTGCAAGAAATTCAATCCCTGCCGTCAAGATGCATGGCTCCATTTCGTTTTGGCGTTCAAGGAAATAAGGGCTGATGCAAGCAAAATGTTGTCATTTGGATGCAATATTGTTCATTTGTTTTTGTTTTTTTAGTTCATACAGTGAATCATAATTACGGGCAAAGGCGTCGTTTCCCAAATATTCATGGGGATGGTGTGTAGTACAGTCCCCCAAAATCCTCCAAGAGTAATTAAAGCCCGACTCCAAATAGTTTTTTTTTTTAAAAATCCTGATTAAAATTCTATTTATGGTGTGTGAGACATTCAAAGCAATATGAGCATCCAGCATGTAGCAAAGGTTTATGCAAAAACAGTTGGGGCTAATTCCCTTTGTCAATTTCCTCTTAAAGAGTAGGGACAAAAACAACTATACAAATAACATGCATTTGTGGTCAATGCAAATAAAATTGACAGTATTTCTTCAGGAAAATTAAAAACTGAATGTCAACATTATTCTACTCCCACTTCTTCAAAGTTTTGAGTACTTGTTACTAATTGCGAAGCACTAATGCAGCTTTGCCTGTTATTTTTTCAGACATAATTATACATATATTATGTAAGGTAACACTATTTAAAAAAACAAGGTTGATGCTAGCTTGAATTCGTAAAGTGCCAACAACCAGATTTAAAAGAATATGCTTGGTTTACTACATCTTTAGAGATCATTAAAAAGTTTTAATTTTCAACTGAGTAAGCTACAATAACTAAATTTAAGAGCTTAATGCACTGATAAGTTTTTATATACAAATGTAATCCAGGAAAGAGGAATTTAGATTGTTAACATCACATGTATTGGAACTGGAATTTTATTTGAACACTTTGTTATTATTAACAAGACAATGCAATATCTTTACCAATAGCACTTTTTCTGTTTTATATAATTAAAAACTATAGGAGAATTTTTTGACATTAAAATAAAATAATCTTCCAGTAAGAAGCTTCAGAAAAATTATAATGCAACTCAAATATAAGACATCAAAAGCTCTTGAAAATTGATTGCATATTCCTCTTTAATTCTATAATTAAATTTCTCTTCACATCTGCCATCTATGCCCTGTTTAACAGCCTATTAACTGGATTCAACTATAACATTTTGCAGGAATTATTTACTTATTTATCCAAAAGACTTACTTCCCCCCTTGTCCCTCTAAAAAAATTAAACTTCCAAGAGGAAAAGTCATCTTTAAATTTGCTGAGATTATAATAGCAGCCAATTAATTTTTTCTTCTTAATAATTGGCAGGGATTTCATACATCTTAATCACTTCAGAAGTTGTGCTATACTTTTAAAAGGGTTTAGAGATTTTTATGGACAAAGACTAGCTGAATAGTTGATCACGTTTTGAAATGATCTAGTAACATTTTAAGTTCAGGTCCTTTGAGTACTAAAAGTGAGTAACAAAACTAAATTAGAAATTAAATGTTTCCTGCAGTTGCTCTAATAAATGAGTCACAACAAATGTGTTTTGATTCCTTTTTTCCTTGTTGCTGCACTACAGGAGGAAGGAGGAAGCAACCAAATTAAGGTTTGTTTAGCATTATATCCGAACTGTTTGTTTCTGTCTCAATATGAGTTGGGACAACTAGTAATTAGTTTAAAATGTGACTCTAGATCGACTTGTTTGCACAAAACTAGAGTAAACAAATCAGGTTTTTTTTTTCAAATTCATACTCATCTAGAGACATTTCTTTAAAAATTATCTAAACAATTTTCTCTGGAAAAGATTTGTTACTGACAAATTAAGTCAATAATAGTAATAAGGAGAGAGCAGTGCATCAAAACTTAATTTTTTTCAAGTAGCTTGCAAAACATTTCAGCACGAGTGATATATTAACAGCACTGTATAAGAATTTATCTTCTACTGCACAAAAAGACCCTTACGTTTAAGTTAAAGTTAAAGCTGAGTTTCCACTGCAAAAATAAATGGTTCCTCTATAACACTGTTATGTACCAGTTTCATAAACACTGTTGCCAAGTACAAGACAATACACAGTTGTTGTTTTTTTTATTTTACTTATTCCACAGTTAAAGCAATACTCCATATTTCAGCAATGCAGAAGTCTTAAGCACCATTCGGGGTTGCTCACAAGACCACTTAAAATCAGAACTAACAAATAATAGTTATGCCTATTATTTGTTAGCTTCAACTAGCATAACATAATCAACTTGTACTCTGCCCTAACTGTGTATGTGTTGTGCTGCAACATTTAAACACGTCGGTTTTAATGGTACACTCTAGCTCAAGGGTAGGCAACCTTGACTCTTTTATGACTCATGGACTTCAACTCCCAGAATTCCTGAGCCAGCATGGCTGGCTCAGGAATTCTGGGAGTTGAAGTCCACAAGTCATAAAAGAGCCAAGGTTGCCTACCCCTGCTCTAGCTACTATATACGCTTAGTACTTTCCCCCCTTTAAGAAGTTGCAAGCAATTTTACATGTTTTACATCCCCCTCCCTGTTCCCAAATACTAAACACTCACACACTGGTTTTTGTAGAATTGCTCTTAAATGATGTACTGCTCTCACTGATTTATTCTCCATTCTGTTCACAAAACAAAATGACAGCAGATTTGTTTCAAACGTAGGCATGTGACGCCTAGAAACTTTGATCGTGTTCTGAACTCTTTGTCAAGATACTTGTTTAGAAAAAGTTCCATCAGCTCGACGGAAGAGACACTTTCCTCAGATTTGATGAGATAACTCCCAGTTATATGAATTAAGTTTACATCTCTTATGCAAGCATACATTAGGACTCAAAGGTCAAATCTAAGGAGAGCAATCTAGACAGGTGGTCAATAAGTCACATTAACATATCGACAGGTGAGTGTCTTGGCTGCAAGAGAAGAGCTATGAGGTATTTAATTTCTGGCTGTGATTAAAATCTCACAGATGGGTCAACAGAAAAAGCAATAATTTCTCTTTCATCTAGAGTTTGGATTGAACTGGAAAAAAAAATAAACATAACTGTCATGGTATGGCTTGCTTAAAAGTATAATTTCCAGATAGGAGAAAGTATAATTACTTGGAATTATTTATAATTACTTGAGAAAACTGAAGTTATATGATCATCTAGGAATTTCATATACTACTTCAAGTTTTTAAGGAGCTACTTGCTTCAATATCAGTAAAGAAAGAGAAAATATTAAAAAGTTCCATGCCCTTTAGTTATATCAATTTAAGGGGGACATTCTGTTTATTTTTATCCCCTGATAAAGCAAGCATCAGCTTCAAGGCACAATGATCTATGATTTATGTCATCCCATCTATTTCCTACATTCTTGGATTTTGTTGATGTATTTAATTCAGAAAAGGTCTTAGTCCAAGTTAATGCTGGTTAAACAGAAGTTGTATTTTGAACCTGGAAAGGAAATCAAATTCCCTCCATAGTAATTTCCTTCTCTATTCCAGTATGAACTACATTTGTATTGATTTTAATGCAAACAAAGATCTCTCAAACCATACTTTCAGTCTTAGGTTTATATTAAGACCATAATCTGAACTGGTGTACATGTGATTCAAAAATACAATGAATATGAAGGGAGGGAAACAGGCATGCATTGCTAGCTTGTCCACATTATTATTAAATAACCAAGTTATGTCACTGAAAACAGTAAGTGTTACAATGTTTTAACACCATTGGATCATGTTATAAATTATAGGCAATTCTGACAACATAATTCTTTTCAGAAGTTGAATGCCTCTGAAAGTGATGGCAAGTTAAATCAAAAAGCCAATTTTCAAAATATTTCCAACAGAAAATATATTTACAAACAGATGCTCAACGTTAAAGATACCTATGTACCTCATCAGCAGGTATAAACAGAGACTTGGAAAGTATCTTTTCAGATACTTCACCATGCAGAATTCCTCCAGGGCATCAATATATCTGATAATTCAGAATACAAAGATAATACACAATAACCCAGAGACATTTGCTCCCAAAGCTATCAGAAATAATAAGTCTGGATCAAAGATAGTTAAGACAACAATTTAGTCTTAAACTGCTGCTGTATACACAGTACTTAGAATAAAAATAGCTACATGGAAAATAATATTCTTTACTACATTATACATCTTCATATATTAAAATATCAGTTATGGCTACTAAAGCAATGTATAAGCAACATTTAGAAATACTCTAAAATAGATTTGAAATTATCCACCCCTACAAGCTGCTGCTCTATATCAGGCAATATAAAACAATTTTTAAAAGTTACTTACAGCTGTGTTCAATACCTACCTTGTTTTCCATTGTAGATTATATTTTTACACAAGAGATCATTATGACAAAGTACCACTGGTGAACCTAGATTAGAGAGTCTCTCCTTCATCCATGCCATTTCATCCTGTAGAATTTGACGGCTTGGCACATCATGCAGAAATCTTTTAGAATTTGAAAAGAGTTAAGAAAAGGTTCAATGATACTTCTCAGAACTTTATGAAGATTCTCTTATTTCGGTAACGCAAGTTAAAACTTTCTGAACTCCACATACTCTAAAACTATACTTTCAACTTTACATTTTTAAACTAGAGAGGGATACTATGATATATTCATGTATGAGCTCAGAAATAATTGTCATAGATATAGTTTAAAATACCTACCTCACATGCAACTCCTCATCAGCAAATTCTGCAGGTGCAAGAGAGAAGTACTTTCCCATCTTTATCCATAAGTTCGACTTGGGTATCCATCCATTGTGAGCATGAATAGCATGTATTTTAGCAAGTTGTCTTGCTATCAGTCTGAAATAAAACGAAATTTACATTTAAAAAAATCATTGTAATTACAAGCACATTGTCTTTTATTGGTCTCAGCTCAGAACAATGAGAAATCAGTTAGGTGTATATTGTTAGGACAGCAGTGGCACAGAAGGAAATTAGCAAATTTTTTTGTTTTAAATGAGAAACTCCACAGTACCATGTTATTTTTTAAAAAATCTTGTACATATGACAGAAAGTGGTATGAAAGAGGATGTTGAACCAGAAAGGACTTTAGTTCAAAAGGATTAACTTCATGGCAGAAAGATATCTTGATGGCTGGAACATCACCTGTTCCTTTTTGTGAAAGCTTCCATAATGTTCCAAAGGGTTAGGTCAGGGGTAGTCAACCTTGGCTCTTTTATGACTCGTGAACTTCAACTCCCAGAATTCCTGAGCCAGCTGTGCTGGCTCAGGAATTCTGGGAGTTGAAGTCCACGAGTCATAAAAGAGCCAAGGTTGACTACCCCTGGGTTAGGTTATGACTGGAACCAAAAATTATTCTTCTAAAAACTGCATTGTTTCTACACCAAATAGATGATTCTGTATTCTCAGCACCTGGCAGCCACCTAATAAAACCTGAACTATAGGCCTGTAAGTGTTTTGCAGAATGCAGATAGCTACAAAGGGGGACAAAAATACCATTTTTCTTCTTGTAAAAAGCAGGAATATTAACAAAAGAGCAAGGAGGATCCATTATATAATACTCCAATAGTTCTACAAGCCACCGCAATCACACTGACTCTTTGCAGTAAAACCTACAGGACATTTATTTTTCTAAAATCAGCTCATTCAATCAACTTAGAAGAAATTGGATACAGTATACATCATGTTAACCAAGTATATTTTAAGAGAAGTATATATATATATATATGTTCTAGGATAACTTAAAGCAAGCTGGAGCAAATGACTAAGGAAAAATATACTAAGAAGCCTTGAGTATTATAGAGTATTCAGACATGGTCTGAATAAATAAAGCAAAAATATTTGACAATAAAATTGTCACTCAATCACAAAACAGTGCTGCAGAACAAAAGTAGCACTGGAATAATTTTTCATCCATTAAAATCTACATCATTAAGATTTTAAGCTATTAACTAACTGGATTTTAGAACAATAATTTGTTTTCTCTGGAAATTGAGATTTATTTAATCAAAAAATACTGCAAGCACAATATTGTAGCTAGCAACCTCTTTGAATAAATTGTGCATAAAAGAAGAATTGCAAAATGCTTACCGAAATATCTCTGGGTTGCAAACATGTTCTGGATCCAGAGCTTCTCCTTCCATGAACTCATAGCACAGGCCATTGCTGAAGGTGCAGTAAAGCTGGGGTGCACAACCATGGGCCTGCAGCACACGGAAGCTCTTCACTTCCTCCTCTCGATCAACTAAAAGTTCCGTCTTATTCCCGTAAATTCTAACAAGGACAACATCATCCATTTTTTCATCCACGTAACAGCCAATAAGTTTATTTGTGATTCCATCTGTAAATATCTGCAAAGAAAAAGCAATAAGTTTGGTTTAGTGAAATAGCTGTATATATATATATAATAATAATAATAATAATAATAATAATAATAATAATAATAATAATAATAATGATGATGATGATGATGATGATGATGATGATGATGATGATGATGATGATGATGATGATGATGATGTTGGAAGGGACCTTGGAGATCATCTAGTCCAACCCCCTGCTCAGGCAGGAAACCCTATACTATATCTTAACTACTGTTACAGTATGTTTGGGTTATGGCCTTGAAAGTAGTTTGCTTGGCAGAACTTGATTGATCTTTTCTGAGTTCAGAAGGTAAACTGGATTGGGTCTGGCTAATACAGGTAATTCTTGACTTACAACCATTCATTTAGTGACTATTCAAAGTTATAACATCACTGAAAAAAGTGACTTATGACTGGTTTTCACGCTCATGGTTGTTGCAGCATCCTCATGGTCATGTGATCAAAATTTGGGTGCTTAGTAACTGGCATTTATTTATGACAGCTGAACTGTCCTGGGGTCATGGGATTGCCATTTATAACCTTCCCAGCTGGCTTCCAACAAGCAAAGTTAACGGGAGAAGCCAGATTCTCTTAACAACCACGATTCGCTTAACAACCATGGCAAAGTTAGTAAAATGGGGTGCAGCTCACTTGACAACTGTCTTGCTTGGCAACAGAAATTTTGGACTCTATTGTGGTCATAAGGCAAGGATTAACAGGGAGACTTTAGGTCATATGTTAACCAAGGTTGTACTGTATGTCAACCAGGAAAGTAAAAACATTTCCATGCTCTTCTCAAGATGGATATGGATACGTCTGCTTAACTTGTCTAAGATTTAACTTTCCTCAATCAATAATACAACCCACTTTGTGGGATACAGAACAGCTGAGTAAAAGTACTTCCTAATTTAGAGATATCTCAGCTAAACTTAAAACATCTTTGTGAATGATGGCACTTTAGAGTCCAGTGTATCATAAAATTTATTAGTCTAACCATAACTCAATAGCAACAAAATGTAATTAGAGAAAGATTCACTAAGTGTGAAAGTATGCTGTCAAGTAAAGAGAATCATTTTATTAAGAGCAAATCTGAGTACCGGTAAATAGAAGAACAACAAAAGAAAAAAGAAAAGAATGCTAATAACAAAGTCATTAGGCAAGGAAGAGAATGTAGTGAAATTCAATATTTGAATCAAATGTAAACCCAATATCAGTTGTAATTTATTGGCTTTCAGCCAGCCCATTAACAAATCTGGATATCTATTCAAGAGAGCCTTATTTAGTTTAGATGAAAAGAAATAACATCAGGAACCATAAGGAAGCCACATCCCAAAACTCAGGACGAGATCTCTTCTCCAGTGGGTTCACGTATATGAGAAGCAGCAGAGGTAAAATAGAATCTATCAGTCATCTACAAGAAAATGTCAAGGAAGGTTTAGTGACCATTAGAAGTTACAATGACACTGAAAAAAGTATGAGTTTTTCACACTAACAACTGCTGCAGCATCCCCATTGGTCACATGATCAAAATTCAGACACTTGGCAACTGGCGTGTATTTATGACCGTTGCAATGTCCTGGAGTCATGTGATCACCCTGGCAACCTTCTCACAAGTAAAGTCAATAAGGAAGCCAGTTTCACTCAACACAGCCATGTTACTAACGTAATGGTAGTGATTCATTTAACTGTGGCAACAAAGGTCATAAAATGGGGTAAAATACACTTAACTGTCTCGCTTAGCGACGGAAATTTGGGGCTCAATTGTGGCCATAAGTGGAAGAGTGCCTGTACTCTACCTGCTTAATATTAAAACATTTTTGTAATGTTGTCACCTTTCCAGAATGTATTTCAGTATTCCCCCTCCCTCCCGCAGTTAGCTAGTTTAGACAGCAGAGGCTGCTCTGGTACTTTTTCAGACTATCCCAGTACTATGATGTCAGCAAATCCAAGTGCGAGAAGTTCAAAAAATGGTTGCCAGGAGAGAATATTAATAGAAGAGGAAATAATGGGTTGCTGGTAGAACCTGCCTTATGAAACATCAAACTTGACACACCCCTATCTTTATGCTAAGGACAGCAAGCATTTCCATTGGAACGTAGCTATTTCTCCGTCA